GCCGCTGGGGCTTGCTGGGTCTGTGTGCCGCTGCGCTGCCGAAACAGCTGCTCTGAAACTGCAGACTTCGCCTTGCGAGCTCGGGAGTAAACTAGAACATGGAATCGGTGCAAATTGTTCTGTTCCAGAAAAGCCGAGGTGCTCACTATGCTTCGGTTGGATTAACAGGCACGGCAGGCTGTCGTGGAAAATATCCTTGCCCTAGTCGCCTGACTCTTGAGTAATTTTCCACTGGATAACCCGGTCGAGATGCAGAAAGGAGCAGATGAGCATTACTTGTTCAGTTTTTGCTGCATATTTCCAGTGCAGCGCCCAAATGCGTCAGTAGCTATACATTCACCTCCATCTGGTACAGGATGTTCTGCCCTTCTTGATGGAGTGCGCGCAGAGTGGTCATTAGTCTGGGTGTCTAAATAAGTTCATAGTGATTTTATAGTGATTATCCTGATTTTCCCAGTTTTTTTCCTTTCTTTATCTTTTTTTTTCCCCCCAGTTGTACAGGTGTAAGATTTGGGCTTTATAATACTGATATCATTCTATCCTTTCCTATCCTTTTTGCAGTTTTGGCAAAAACCTGAGGAGTGGGGGCTGAGAAAGAAAGTAAGGACACACAGCATAGACAGAAGGAAGAAACTCTCAAAGGGTGTGTTTCAGGAACTTCCCCTCTGTCTCAAGAAGTCCTGCACATCCATGTTAACCAGAGTGATTGCCAAATAAACTGCTCTGAGTGAAAGAAAATAAATGTCATCCTGTAGTAGGGGACGCTGTCTCTTCTTGCAGGAATGTTGTTCTAGGTACAGTCTTTCCAAGCAACATTTGTCTCTTTCCTGAAAAGTTGAAGAATGGATAATGATGAATAGGAAAAAAAAATTTACATTATCTTTACCAACCCTTGAGGTTGCTCTATTAAATAACCTAAAATATTTTTTTCATAGTGAATAATTTTAAAATATCGTTCATAATCTGAATGTGCTTTCTAAGAAAGTGGCCACTGCTGCATCACATCTTCAAAATGAACTTTGAAAACACCTATAGTTCAGTCTGGATTTAAGTTCATCCCATAATGTGTCTTGATAATTTAATGATCTTCATGTTGACCACGTTGCAATTGAGTAAAATGATATTAGAAAATTAATTTTATTTTCTTTGTTTTTTTTTTTTTAATAGAGGAGGCATTTCATGCAGCAGTTATTATGCAGCAAATATGTGGGATCTTTTAAAAATTGTTTTACGCATGGATATGATTAACAGTTGCTTAGAAACTTGGGAAAGTAACCTAAATCTGGAGATGAAATTTTGGTAGTCACCTTGCAATCCATCTGAAAGAAAAGCAATGGTATTGGTCTAAGATAGCTATAGATATTTTTATATTATTATTGCTTCCTTCTCCTTTTTCTCATTTTCCAGATACAGTGCAAGAAATTACAATGCTTTGCTAGTTTGTGCATTTGGTATATTAATGCTTTCTGTAATAAAGCATTTAAAAATATTTTAAATGTTTTATATGTATAATAGAAAATCTGCACTATAATTTAATTTTTGGAACCTCTTTGTTCAAAGAAAATGAGGAAGTAGTAGGCCCTTTAGAAAAGGGCCTTACCCACTTGCCTAAGTTCATGGCTTATTTGTTTTAAAAGTCAGTTCAGAGAGTTGCTAAATTTCAAAGCAATGCTTTGAACGTTAATCTTGCAGCTTGCTACACTGGTTTGCTTAGTGAAGTAATAAAATCTGGTGTTAGCTGCTCCAGGGGATCTTGGAGACTTTGTGCTTTGACACACGCATAGATTCTAGCACGTAGACTGCTAGAAATGTTTAATATATAAACAAGATATATGTACTTGTATATGAATGCTTGCAGGTCTAGGTTTAGGGAAGTGCCTTTTTGATTGTGGAGAAGACAGAGTTGACAAAACAGTTTATAGTATCATTGACTGAGGAGGTTCCTTGTATCAAGTGTGATATACTACTCAAAGTATTGTTATCAGTGATGGTTTTGTAAACAAATACAAAATTCATCACTTAGTAAGACTGGAAACTTTAGTAGAACTATTGAATGTCAGATCTAGTCAGTGTGAAGCTTTCCCCACCCAAATGCTTTCTATAGTGCTTGTACTCATTTGAAGCACGCAAATAAATATACAAGTACGTATATATAATGGCCATTTAGAAGAGTAATAGAAAAATAGTTTTCTTTTATCGACCTTTCCTCCAGTGGCTGTTCTCTGATACAGGCAAAAGCTTGATAGATTCACCCGCCATGTGCATTTTTGCCCATTTCAATCCCATTTAAAATCTCTCACTCCATCTGGAGATGTCCCTAGCCTTCGAACACACCGTAATGATAATTCTTACCTGTTAGATTTCTAGCTAAAAGCATAAAAGGCTTTGTGTGTGTTTGTTTGTTTTGTTGTTTTTTAAATTGCTAATTAAAGTGCTTGATTTATGCCTGGGAAGATATTAACTCTTGCAGTGCTATTTTCTTGTTTTCCTCCATGCAACCCTTACCCTCCACCTGCAGCTTCCTCATCATCTTCAGTGCTACATTGGTAAAATGAAGAGCCCCTAAAAATAATCCTAATCTCTAATGCAGCTGTGCTTCTTTTTTGCCCTGCTTATAAATTAACATGTGGGCTGCGCTGTAAGGGATCTCTCACACACTTCTTTTCTCTGCAAGATCCACACAGGTTTGCAACACCAGATAATTTGGCCATGCCAGCCCAGCTGTCTGCCACTGGATGAGAAACTCCTCCCAGAGCTACTTCAAGAGGCGGGATATGTTACTCACATGGTGGGGAAGTGGCATTTGGGGATGTACAGAAAAGAATGCCTTCCAACTCGCAGAGGATTTGACACTTACTTTGGTAATAGTTTGATTTAGTATGGGCAGTAAATGCAGTGTTGAAAAGGATGAGAAACTGTCCCACTCTTGTAAGAGCGGTGGATTTACTGCTGATTTATAAGTAAAGCCATGTCTGGGTATGCGTATTTCCAAAGTACCACTGCTTAAAAAATGATAATGCCTTAAATGTATGCTCAAGCTTTACAACTTACTGAAGAAAGTATCAGAATTACTGTGTAGCTCCAAGTAAAGCATTTCTCTCCATTTTCCCTCACTCCTCCCTCCTTCCCAGAGTTAACTTTTTGCTCTGAATTCTCTGTCTCCTACCTACAGCAGCACAGGGGAATAGGGAAGGGGGGTTACAGCCAGTTTGTGTAGCTTTGGTTTTCCAGAGCTGGTGATGAGATGGTGTGAAAGCCTCTATAAAGTAGTATCCAAAAACTCATAAGTTAGGAAGTGAAGCTCTCAGACTAAACAGTAGATTGTCTAAGTGTGAGTGCATTACTTGCAAAGCAACTTATAGCTATGCATTGTTTATTGTTCCAAGTGTGGTTTGGGCTCCTGTCCCAGTATCAATTTATTGGTTTTGCACAAGTGTCACGGATGGTATATTTACGTGGGCTGTCAAATGTCTCATTCTGCATCATTCTGCACATTCTCCACTTGGTTGTTTTTGAGACACTTTCCTTGAATGATGAATTTCAAAATAGTAAATTTCAATGCAGAAGCCTGTGTTGCTCTTGTCTAACCTGCAGCTTAAATGAAGAATGTGACTGTGCTCTGTGTGTGCCTTTAATAAATTATGTTCATCCAAACATGAGGTGGGAAAAACTGTCCCCTTAGGTGGTTTACTTCTTTTTACTCTTTGGGGAGCTCAGGGCCATGGTTTCACAACTGAATTAAGCTAATATATGTGGATTGGGATATAATGGCTCTCATTGCTTAAGCATTTGTGCTTTCTCCCATCCCTCCACAGGAGCTTGGGATCTCCTTGGTGGCATGGGTGTAGATAGGCTGCTGTTCCTTTTGAAATCTCACCCTGGGATTGAGCAGGCTTTTAATGCAGGAGCCTGAGGATAGGCTGGCTCTGTGTATTGTTTCTGGGTGCTCAATGTGACATTATATTTCCGAGGATATAGTGGTTTTATATCCTGTAATGTTCATGTGGTTCCAGTAGGCATCCGTTATGATTAGGGATGTTTGATTCCGTGGCACACTTGATGCACTCTCGCCCAGTGGGCATTCAAAATGGGAAAAATGCAACATGTGCCTCTGAGTACATTGATGTAAGCAATCTGCCTATAAAATCATTTCATCTTTTGAAAAACTAACCATTTTATTCTCCTAAAAATATCATAGACATTTATATTTTATTTAAGATCACTTTATTTTTTTCTGTACATTTGTTTTTGCAGAAATTACTAGCTGCAGCTGCCGAAAAAAAAGTTCAAGTAAATTTCTTCAGTCTTGGATTTTTGTCCCAAGATCTTTTTTTTGCGAAACATAGGACTGTATTTTTTTCAGATTCATCCATTTTTTCAGGATATTGGGGGAGAAATCTAAAATCTCATTTCAAATGTAATTTTTGAGATTCAAATGATTTTAAAAAGTTTTATTTTTGCCTGCTAAAACAAAAGGGCACCCCGTGCCTAACAGGCTAGCCCTAGGTAGGAGCAAATCCATACATGCATGATTTTTACTTAATTTCTTTTGGATATCTCTAAGTGATAGTGTCTTTTCTTGACCAGCTGGTGTCAGCAGTGGATCAGAAATTGCATTACAACAGACAGATGATTCATGCTTGGATGTTTTTGAATAAATGGATTTTAAAATTCCAAACTTTCCAATAGAAGTGGAAGCCTACATCAAAATACAAACATAGAAATCATACCACTAAGAATCAGACTAGTTCACAGCCAGATCACTGCCTTGGCTCTTAGTGCATTAGTTTAGTGCTCATGGACATCAAAGTACAAATAAGAGGTCATTAAACTGCTTTCAAAATATTTAATTTCTTTTGAAATTAATGCTGGCATTAGCAATGAAAAGCCTATGAGGTATTAAATGTGGAACTACTTAGACATGTCAGGGGTCTCATAGTAGGTGGTCCAAGGTTGAATTAGTGTTTTAGCTCGAAACCACTAATGTTTTGACATTTGCGTTTGACTTTTTTCTCCTCCTGATGTATGTGTTTATGTGACACGATGTTGGCCTGCTCATTTGACATCTTTTCCTGTTGTAGGCTATCTCCTGGGCAGTGAGGATTATTATACTCATGACCACTGTGTCCTCATCAAAGCAAAGAATGTGACGCGCTGTGCTCTGGACTTTCGAGATGGAGAAGAAGTTGCAACTGGATTTAAAAATGTGTACTCCACAAATTTATTCACAGAAAGAGCTATAGATCTTATAGCAAATCACAAAACTGAGAAGGTACAGATAACTTCAGCATTAAAGAATGTTTCTAAAACATTGATGAAATATTAACAGAGAGAGCTGTTTTTGAGCTGCTGTTCAGGGCTATTCAATAGGTGCATAGAGCTAAATGTGAGAAGTAGCAGTGGTAAAACTCACCTGCTGCCAAAATCAGCTTTGTCTGCATGGTTCTGGCCTGCTACCCTTCTCCATTTCTTCTATTTTAATACAATTAATATATTTTTAGAAATGGTTGAGCAAGTAGTTTGCACTTCTAAACAAAGAAGGGAAGCTTAAGTTGAGAAGTTTAATAGAAAGAAATTGCTAACGATTATGTTATGAAGAAAAGATAGACCTGATGTTTTTCCACAGCTTTCCAAAAGTAAGTTTTCAAAGCTTTCTTAGTTTATGTGCAAAGAATGGAAGATGTAGAAGTTGTAGAAGAAATCAAAAGGCACTACCTGCACAGTTGATAAAAGATGTCTGCTTTCGCTGCAGTAACTTTTGCACTTAGTGTTTTATGTTCAACTAATTTCCATTTTATCCCTTCCACCCCAGCCCCTCTTTCTCTATCTTGCCTTTCAGTCTGTGCATGAACCTCTCGAGGTCCCTGAAGAATACTTGAAACCATATTCTTCCATAAAAGATGTGAAAAGGCGCCATTATGCAGGAATGGTGACTCTCATGGACGAAGCAGTAGGAAATCTTACTGATGCTCTGAAAACATATGGTCTTTGGGACAACACAGTTTTTGTTTTCTCTACTGGTAAGTTCCTTCAAGTATTCTTTCAGTAATAACTTTGCTAACAAGCTGATTACAGGGAGATCTGGCTCCTCTGTCTTTCCTCTGGATATCTTCTAATGACATCAGAGTGATGAAAGTTGAGCAGGAGTTTACATGAAACAGCAGATTCTCTCCCTTCTCTTAGGGCTTTCTCAAGCTTGACAAAAACAACTCCGAAGTAGTGTCTGTGCGCATGGGGGATGCTCCTGGTGGTGTAAAAATACCTTTATCAAATCTGAGGAGTGCAGTGCGGTTAGAAGCATCCTACTTGACACTGTAGTTACTGAGGATCTGTCAGAATTAAATCCTTACTGAGAGCTGTCTATTTCTTCTGAAGCAGTCTGTCCTGTCTGTGTATTGCCACGTGTTTCATGAAGCACAAACAGCCAGACAGCAAGCAGTTTGAAGCCCAAACTGTTTTTTCTCCTCACTTTAAGGTGTTGTGTAGTTTTTGTCGTTTTTGAAGTATTTCACTGGCATCTTAGTCCCATGAAACAAAGGTCTGTGAAGAAAACAGTTGAAAATATGATGAGCAGTCTAGTCAGCCAAATTACAATCTAAGTTTTTGTATGTACAGGCACATGATCTGGTTTCTAGGTTATTAGCGTAATGTAAATAATACATTGCAAAGCAGTCTCCTTTGTTTCCAAATTAAGAATGAAACAGAACTTTTTTGAAATACAGCTGCTTGGCTGGGTTTCAGGAACATATTTACTCTTGTTTGGTTGGAAATGGGAAGTAGCCTTTCAATGCATACAGTTGTTCTTTTGTCCACACTTTACATATTAGGGCTGTCATAATGGCAAATTAATTTTCTGTGAACACTTCAAATACTACAAAAACAACTGAAATAAACAGACAAGCAAAACAAAAAAAGAACCAACCAAAGTTTGATGAAAATGCACTTATGTGTTTTGAGTTTAGCAACTGCTTCCTATAGCACTCAGGATCTTGGAGTTTAATTTTGAGTCCAAACCTGTTTGCCTTATGATGTTATATTTGTGACCAGATTTTGCTCCAGCAAGATTTGGTAACTCATCTACGCCTATTTCTGTTGCAATGTTTTTATATTTTGAACTGAAATTGAGCAAAGACATATGGAAAACTATACCAGTATTTATTCCATATGGAAAAAATCCAGTCTTTGCTGAGACTGGGGCTCGGAAGAGTTATTTCAGAAATGTTTATTCAGTACGTTGTGGAATAAAACCAAAAACTTAAAGACATCTGAGCTAGAATTACAAGGTGTGAGTGAATTAAAAAGAAACGAATTTGTTTTTTTCATTTATTAAGCATTTCTTTTTTCTGAATTGTGACAGTGTACCCTGTTTTTCAACAGTGATTATTTTGCAATCAGTTGCAGGTATATTTTAACAACAGTCAAACAATCAGGAGAATCAAGTGCCTACTCTATCTAATGGGACTTATTTTGAGTTAATTGACAGTTTAAACTTCCAGGAGTTAAATTTAATATGATCAAAATGCATGGAAATTGGACTTAAATCAAGCAGCACAGGGGCCAGTGATTTGGGTCTTTTCAGTGTTCTCTCTTTACTTCACGCCGTTATTCTTTAGAGGCATAAAACATTGCATGCAATAAGAACTCAATTTCAAAAACCAAGTGTTAAAACCATAAAACATTTTTAAAAGACCAGAAAAAGGAAAAATCTTGTCAAATTATTTGGTTTGTCTATATTTTGTTAGTGCTTTTTCAGGTGGCGTGTTTCAGAACAGACATTAGAATATGGTTGAAAAGAGACATGTGAGGGTCTACAGTTGAGCATCTCTTGCAGAGAGCTCTGCTGTGTCAGATCTCCCTGCACAGCTTCCAGGTCCTTTGGAATTGGGAGTCCTGCTGTGCACTGGTAGCTGTAATATGAGCCTATGATTATAGTATGATGTACCTTCAGGTCTTGAGGACATATCTGCTTGGAAAAGTCTTCTTCCTGCCCCAAGTGCTGTTCTGGCTTTGGGAGACCCTTTTTTAGCTTAGTGGGACGCAGCAGGGCACACACACTTTTCTTTATTATCAAGAACTCTCTCCAAGAAAGTTCTTCCCAGTCTGTGGGATTAAGAATCAATTTAAGGAATTCAATGAAGACTGCAAGGGAGAATCTAGGGAATGATAAAGTTTATCCATAAGTTTAATGAACACTGTTAAAGATACAGAATCATCATACTTGCTCAGAGGAATTTGGGGGTGGCTGAGAGGCTGGACCTGCCCCAGCCATGGGCACTGCCAGCCCAGAGAGCCACACGTGTCCTGGGCTGCATCCAGAGCAGGGTGGGCAGCAGGGCAGGGAGGGGATTCTGCCCCTCTGCTCTGCTCTGCTCTGCTGAGACCCCACCTGCAGGGCTGCATCAGCTCTGGGGGCACAGCACAGGAGGGACAGGGACCTGCTGGAGGGAGTCCAGAGGAGGCCACAGAAGTTATCAGAGAGCTGGAACACCTTCGCTGTTAGGACAGAGAGTTGGAGTTCTCCAGGAGAAGAGAAGGCTCTGAAGACACCTTACTGCAGGCTTTAAGTACTTAAAGTAGACTTATAAAAATTTGAGGACAGAGTTTTTAACAAGATCTGTTGTGATAGGACAAAGGGTGATGATTTTACACTGAAGTAGAACAGATTCTGACTAGATATAAGGAAGACATTTTTCATAATGAGGTTGATGAAACACTGCAGCAGGTTGCACAGAGAGGTTGTGAATCCCTGGAAACATTTAAGGTCAGGTTGGATGGGGCACCAAATTAGCTGATCTAGTTGAGGAAGTCTGCTCATTGTAGGGGCGTTTGGCTAGATGACTTTTAGAGGTCCTTTCAAACCCAGACCATTCTAAGAGAAATGTACTCTCTGTTTGGTTAACTGTGTGCTTTGATAAAGGTGTTGTTGAAAGTCTGTAGAGGAAAAAGAAGGCCCTATTTTTATGGTACATTTTACCAGATTCATTACTATTTCCTTTTTAGTTGAGGCCAAAATTCACACTTCCATGTTTGTATCTCTCCATGCTTTAAAAGTCCTGCCCAAAGAATAATTTACAGGTGGTCATTTTGTATTTTGTAATTTGGCAAGTAGCATTGCAACAAACATAGTCTTCTGACTACCTCTCTGTGAGGTGTTGACCTCAAACAGTAGATTTCTTTTTACTGGGTGCATATTAAAAAAAACCCATAAAATACGATGTAATATTTGATCTTGTGGTATATTTTTTTATTATTATATTCTTTCATGTTTCTTCCTATTTGTTATGGCTCAAGAGGCATTGCTCTGAAAACATGCCAGCTGACAAAAGGAAATACTGCACATTTTGAAAGAGTCTTGTGAACTGTGTAGAAGAACTTTAGCTCCTTTTAAAGTGGCCTGATGGAGATAGCAGGATAAAAATGTAACTTCATTATGTGTGGTCATTAGCAAAGTCTGACTCCATCAGTATGTCCTGTAAATCAACCCTGTTTTTGAGGTGTCTTTTTCGACAGAAAGGCAATTTCTACAAGTAAATAAGAAAAAGTTGAGCAGATTCAATGGCATGTGGTGGTATATTTGTGTATCAAGTAGTAGCTTGAAAAGTCTTGACTGGTTTGATATGAAGTAGAATTTTCTTTTATGGGGCATTTTTTACACTGCAGATACAAGTAACTGTGCTAACGAGATCATTTATGAAAATAAAGTAATTGTTTGTTTAAACAAAACAGATGAAAAATGAATGCAGAAGGACTGGGTATGCATGGCCTTTTGTTCACTTGAAATCAAAAATAATGAGATAGGGTGTATTTTATCTTTTAGCAATTACAGAAGTAACTACTCTACATGTAACTACTAATGTCCCTGAAGAGAGCCTCGATTTAAAATAAAGGTCATAAAAAGCATTAAAATGGTACAAATTTGGCTCAGAACTATTAACATGGGCTTTGAGTCCAAATTTTGCATCAAATATAGAACTGTGATTTGAGGTAAGAAGTAGGGATTTGCTGTGAACACAATTCATTATAGTTTCTGCAAGGTATTACAAGAAATTTTGGTGTGAACATGCCAACATTAAAGCAAAGGAATATGACCCATAGTTTCAGTTCTGTATTAAAGCTGCTGTTCTTTGCTTTATCAAACTTTCAGCTCTTAGTTATGCTGAAACACTGTGGAGCAACACTCATTTCTTCCAGTATTTCTTGCTGTTTTTGAATGTGGATTAGCACTGTAATGCCTGGTAGTTGCCATAAGAGGGCTTTGGAAAGCAAAACACGTGGAACCTTTCAAGCCTTGGTTTACATTGCTAAGAGGAAACCACATAAATCCTTTCCATAATGGAGCATGTGACAGTGATGACTGTTTTCACTCCAAAAGACGGTCTTTTTATCATTGTAGAATTATGATTAATAAGAGCACAGATTCTTTTGGACATACATACTTAATGATGTTTATACAGTCTCTATCATAACCCTAGGTTTTTTTTCCCCACAAAATTTCATATTACCCTTTTTTTCCTTTTTTTTCCTTTTTTTTTTTTTCCTTTCATTCCAGCCCACATATTGTGGCTTTTGGCTAATGAAATACTGGGATTTTCTTTTTACAATGCCTTCTTTAAGGCAAGAATCTGACTTTCACTGATTCCTCAAGGGAGTTTTCTTATCTTCTTGATATCTCTGTTCAAAAATGAACTCATGCTCCTTCACTTTTGCCTATAAGGGACTTCAGAGAGCCTACTAATTGTAGATTGGCCAGTCAATTGACTGGAGCAGTTACTCTGTGTCTGTGATGTCTGAGGTGCTAATTTGAAGGTTGTACTCCCAGATTTTTTCATTGCAGATCTGAAGATTTGTTTTAATTGTTCTTTCAGAGGTTTCTGAGAGGTCTGGTGTGTTTTCAGTAAGTAAAATGCCTAGCCATCTATTGCCTCAGCATCGGCTCCTTCCTAAGTGGAAAAAAGCACAGGCGCCTTAGCTGCAAGCACCTTCAATCACACCAGTTATTTGAGTTAATCTACTCCATTTT